AACTTCCCTCCAACCTCCAACCAAATCTTTTAAGGTATCACTGTGGAACCATGCCAAGCCAAATCAACCAATCAGTAGCAGCATAAAAACCTTCATAACATCCACAAGTACACCCAGCTCTTTTGCTGTGTCTACAGTTTTGACATCTATGCTATCACAACTTAGTTGTCAGATACCAGACTCTCATATACAACATAGATCTGGTTTACTACAGAAGACAAGGAAGGATACAATAAGTAGCTTGGTTCAGGTATAAATATAGGCCATGTAAATACTGAGCATAGTGACCTAAATATATGTTAGAGAGACACATTAATCTGGAGATATATATATGTTGGGTGGCAGGTGGCATGGTGGCCAAGGCCACTGGACTCCCACATGGCTGACTGCGGTTCGAGTCCTGGACCTGGCAGCTTTCTTTCTCACTTTCCTTCCCTCTCTCTCTCTCTCTGGTCAACCTCAATAAATTAAAAAAAAAAAAAAGTAAAATAATGACAATAAATAAAACTAAATAAAATAATTCTTTATATAAGGAGATGTTATATAAAATAGCGATTAAGACTAAGAGAACAGCAATAACTTTGGAGCACATTATGGCAATATCTTTCAAATGTTAAAAATGTATACACCCTTTTATTTAATAATTATAATTCTAGAAATTCACCCTATAGGTGTTGTCACACATGTGTGCAAAACAATATGTATAAACATGTCATTTGTAGTAATGTTTGTAATGACAAAAGCTGTACACAAAAACATTCAAAACATAAATTTCCACTCACTCATACTCACACACACTCTAACATTTATTGTTTGTTTACTATGTGTCAGGCCTTGTACCTTGATATTTATGCATGTATTCAAGTATGTGTACATTCTTATAGCTTTAATATTTTATATATGTATATATACATATATATTTTAAAGTATACACCTTGTTTCTTTTCTTTTATCTTCCTTTCTTTTTCTTTCTTTCTTAAAGATTTTTGCCATAGGGCACATGTGCTTGCTGGAGAGAGAGAGAAACAGTGAGAGGGAAAGTAAGAAATTCTCCCCTGCCCCACCACCGGGGACCTGGCCATGCCATAATCCTTTCTCCATTCTCCTCCCAGGATTTTGGGCACACATGCACATGCACCTGGGATAGTTCTCAAGCTGCCAGGATGAGACTTGAACTGTGGAATTGGTCATGTGGGATCCAGTACCTCAACCACCATGTTACCTGCTGGCTCATACACTTAATTTCTTTTTATTATTACTGCCAGAGAGTGAGAGAGAGAAAGTGCCTCCTAATGGGGTGTGGACATGCCAAAATCACTTTTCCCTTTCTCCATCCTACTTCCATCACGATTTGGGGCATACATGCACACGTGGCACGCTTTTCAAACTTCAGGATTTCCATTGCTATAGGCCATGTTGGATCCGGCTCTCTATCCACAGCACTTAACATCTGTGCTATGGAGCTGGCTTTAAAACATCCACTTTGAATGATTGGATTTTCTATTTATCATCTGAGTGGTTGCTGTTTCATGTAATCATAGTCTTAGTGTGTGCTGATGAGAAGAGTAAACAAAGCTTATTCTCAGCAAGTTTACTTGAGTATTTAAAGCACTTCAAGAATCCCAGTTACCTAAGGGTCCTTAGATACCTCCTTGGCCTTCGACACAGGATTCCTACCTTGACACAGGAGACCTAGAGGGTGGACTAACTCCACCTGCAAGGTTCTAGGACCAGGTTCCTTGAGAGAGGCAAGGCAGAACAGGTATGTCTCCTCAGGTTTATCAGTTACCCCAACAGCCCCTCCTTGTGAAGTCTCTCTCCATTCTATATTCATCACAAATTATAGCATCTAGCAAGAGCTAGGACAGTTTGTGGTTTATCAACTTTACTGAACTCGATATTACAATGATAGATTCACATTGACATTTTTTGGATCCCTGGGCCCTAAGTGTGCCAGTTGAAGGATTGCCGCTATGGAACACCCAAAATTGTGGATATTGCATTCTCAGTACGAATTTTAACTCACTTCCCACCTTGCAACACATACACACACAAAAGAAATGACTCATTTAGAGAGTTAGAGATTCAAGTTTGTCACTTTAGGATACAGTTCAGTGGCACTCATAATTCACTGAACTTATTTTTATAAATTATAACATCTGACTATTCTTAAATTCTAAAAGCATTTTTAAAAAACTTACTGTGGTGCCACAATTATCTTAGGGAAATAAATGGCTATCAACCATCCCTGAATTAGGCATTCTGGTAAATAAAGCTTTTAGAATAATAATCTACTAATAGTATTGATATACACTACAGAATATCTGAAGGAGATTTCAAGAGATAGAAATCCTCAAATGCCTTGAATTAATTTCTGAAGATGTTTACCAAGCACCCTGCTATAAGATAGTGTTAAATAATCCCCCCAATGGCCTTGAGCAAGGTCTGAACAGTAGTCAATGTTGGGGATGGACATGCCATGCTTAGTGAGAGGAAGAGGGCCACAGGTGCAAGGTCAGATGGCCCGAGTTCAAGCTCTCATTTCATCCCCTTCTAGTGGTACGACATTGGACAAGTTACTTCTTTTCCTTCCTGACAGGTAGTTACTTTACTACTTTCTAATGTGTAGTTCCCCTAGATCTAAGACAGGAATGAGAGTAACACCTACTCCCCAGGGTTATTGCAGTGACTGAATGAAATAAACCAAGTAGCTAGAGCATAATAAGTGGTAGCTATTACTATTATTATATTATGCCTCTAGTTAAACCATAGCTACAACATAGGGATTCACTATTGGCAAACCTGGCAATGGAATCTATTTTATGGGATGGATTTGTTTATGACCAATATAGATCGCTAGATGGTCAGATTTGTAATGACTCATTTGTTTGTTTATTTCAGAAATAAAAACACAGCTTTAACAGACTAGATGGCTTCAGGGAAAAGGATGTAACTTCCTACGGAAATAAAGAAATGTGAAATGAAAGGAAACCTGTGTGCCTCGTAGGAAGTCAGATATTCTCTGATTTATGGAAATAACTCATTTGACCAGACAGAGAAAGTAAGAGGGTCCTAGAAGAGAACATTTACATCTTGCCTAGAGGCAGTTCATCAAAATCTAATGCCTCTGCCCTACCCTCTGCACATCTCTTCAACTGCTGGTTGAGATGGAAGGTTTCTAACTAGGCTAGACATGGGGATTTTTCTCTGATCTCCCTAAAGAGAACTTTAACAAAACTATGTGCATACCTAGCAAAACTACACTGTAATCTATTTTAGAAGGGATCTTGTTTTACTTATTTGTTTGTTTTCTGTTTCTCAGAACACCTTGTACTCAAAATTTCTCAGTTTGATGAATTGAATTGAGATTCCTCTCCCTAATTAGATTGGTAAAACTTAGTCTATGGGATTTCTTAAGAAGTAATGGGTCACTTCAGGACCAAATGGAATTGTATTGCATATAAGGGAACCATTTTCAGTCCATGTTTTCTCTAAGCAAAAACTCAGAGTTCACCAGAACAAATCGACCCCCCTCCAGGATTATAGAGATCTCTCCAATTTATCTCGTAGGGACTGGATCCTAAACTGAATCTCATCTCTAAACCTCTGAAATGTCTGGAATTTCCTTAAAATATGGCTACCGGGATTGACTTCCAGAGACTCATAAAGGGAAATTTACATGCATGCCTTATTACAACTGCTCTTGCCACAAAGATCACAGCATCCCTTTCCCAACCCTACATCCCATTTTTTTTTCATCTTGTACTGAGGCCAGGACTGGCCTTAGGCAAATCTGCAAGTGCTTTTCCCATTCTTTTACACTTTGATTGTGTTTTTATGTGTGTCATTTTATTGCTACTGATGATAGGAAGCAAGAGTTGTAAATATTTGCATACCTCTTTAAAATTTTCCAGCTCTTTCACTTAGTCTGTTTTTCCTAACATCAACACAAAACCCAAGGTAGTGGGCACTCACACTCTTATTGTGGAATAGGAAACTGAAGTCGAGAGATGTTGGGATGTGGTTAGAGCTCTAAAGAAATATGGAGTCAAATAGTATGGAGGTTTATGTCCTGCTCTGGCTCTTTGGACCTGTTTCCTATGATGCCTGTGGTAATCACACAGCATATTAAGTACAGAAGCCATTGTAGACAAGGTCTTAGTCTTGTTCATGAAGTAATTGGTAGAGTAGAGTCATATGGCTTGCACTTTGGAACAGATATGGGCTTGATTCCCACTCTACCTCTTACTCGTTGTGAGACCTTGAGAATCCTCTTAGTCATCTATAAAATGGGAGTGATGTCTACTTGTGGGTTGCTGGAAGGAGTAAAGGAACTAACATCTAACCTAGTGCTTGGCCCAACACAGTATAGACACTGACAGCAAGTAGCTGTGCTTTTCCTAGTCACCTGTCTGGGCCTCTTTCTTTCAGGCTATTTGATCACTGAAAATCTACTCTAGGACTCCATTTTCAGGGGCCTCCAAGACAATACATCCTAAAGCTGGTGTACATTTGAATCGCCGGGGCATCTAAAGGTGCAAATTCTGATCTAGTCAGTCTGACACATTCTCAGGAGTTGTCATGGACCACACTTTTGAGTAAAGAGTATGTACCATACTAATTTGACTTGGGAACTAGATCCTTCAGAGCTAGTAGTTCTCAGACTTTATACAGTTCATTATAATCAGATACAGGCCTTATTAACATGCAAATCACAGTGTTCCTCCCAGTGTTTCTGATTAAAGTCTGCAGGGGGCCAGAAAATCCCATTTCTAACAGATTCTCAAGTGACACCAATGCGGCTGTTCTGGGGACCACACTTGCACTAGGCCTAGTGGAGGACTACTGAGAATCAGAAGGATATTTGGTTGCAATGATTACTGGCTTTGAAAAGAAGATGAATCTTCTTCAGGAAGCTCAGTCTAAAAATTCTCTAGTCTCCCTCTCTCCAGCGGGGCCCCTCCTGTGAGCCCACCACAATAGCAGAAGGCTCCCTTTACCTTGTAGACATTGATAGGGATGTCAATGATGATGTGCAACAGGTCTCCCAGAGCCAGGCTGGCGATCAGGATGTTGGGACCATTTCGCATGCACTTGTTTTTGTAGATGATTCTCAGCAGCGTGGAGTTCCCAATGATGCCAAGCACGAACACGAGGCAGGATACAACCGTGTTGATGTATTTGAAAGTCTCTTTGATCTCAAAAGATCTCTGGCACGGCGGAGGGGACATGGTGCGCGATGGGGATCCTATAGGTCTCCCTCTTTTAGGTACCTGGGCAGGTGCAGACGACTGCAGCAGGCTGGCATTGGAATCCTTCGGCCAGGAGGTCTTAGTAGGTGGCGTTATTATCTCTTCTGTCTCCAGAAGCAGCTGAGTGGCCCGGGCAGGCTGGAGTCCCGTCTCCTTTCCGCAGACCACCGCTGTGCCGCAGGCAAGAATCAGCGCCACCAAGGCGCGTCGGTTCAGGCTTGGCGGCGGCTGCATGTTGCTGCCTGTTCCAGTGGGTATTCACTGGCCGCTCTACAGTTTTCAGAACCCGGAGACTCGCTGGGGAGAGAAAACAGGGCACTTGGGTCAGTTACCCCAGCTATGTTTCTGCGAAGGCGAGCGCAGAGCGCAGCCACCATCCGCGCGCAAAAGCAATTCAAGTTTGCGCGCCAGTGGGGAACTCCCGCGCGTGCGACCCGTGGGCTGCGGTTGAATCACGTTCCCGACCCCCTCTTCCAGCGTTTTTCATCTCTGAATCCTGCAAGGTGTAAATCACTCGAAGTGGTGCGGAGTATCTGCAAGAGGTGTGCCAGGAGTTGAGGGACTGATGTGCCAGAGCACTCAGCTTAGGTGTACGGGTAAGGAGTCCTGCGTGTTTCAGCTAAGAAGAGCACATGAGGAACGGGAAATCCAGGCACCTAGAGGCGAAGGGTATGTGTCAGTCTCTGCTCTGCCCGGGATCCCCGAAAGCCTGCGTCTAACTCCAAGGCTCCTCTGGCTGGTGAAAGCTGTAACTCCCAAGCTGGTTGCGCGGAGGGTTCCTCCAGCGCGCCCGGGAATGCACTAGAGCCTTGGAAAACCTCAGAGCCTTTTCAACTCTGTCCAGTTTGGGAGAATATCAGCCTCTTCCCCTCCAACTAGCTTCAAACACTCACGCGCTTTCACCCTCAACCTAATTATAATTTGCTGAGTTTATTTTATTATTATTTTTTAAATTCCCAAACTCGTAAGCCAAGCTGAAGCCCTATGGTAAGGTTCAACTACTGATTTTAACTCATCATCAAGCCGGCATGTTTACCTTACGGGTCGGACGCAGTGGGCGCAGTAGGATGAGCGGGGACCTCTGTCCCGGGACGCGGAGCTGCTCGGTTCTAGCCTACTGCGGGAGCAGAGCACGCCTCCCTTCTGCTGCAGGCGGGTCTGACTCTGACGAAACGCTGAGAGAATGCCAGACAGTGTAGCCTCCACGGCTCGCTCAGAGTCTCCGCTGTCCCCAGACAAGTACTTTTATTCATTCGTCCCTTCCCCATCAATCACCAGCAGACTCCTCCCGCGCCTCCCGACCGCGCTGCAACCTTTCGCCTTGGGCAGCGCCTGGACAGCATCAGCCGGAGCTGCCCGCTTGCCGAGGGCCGTCCTCGGCCAGAGACGTGTCCCAAGAGGCCGTTGATTTGTCATATTCCAAGTTCTTCAAACAACAAACCTAAAATCCAGAGCAAGTCATTACGCACCAAGTGACGCTTCTGGGACTCCCGAGTACAATAAGGCTCCGAATTAACCTGGATTTTTAATGCCAATTGTCACTTCTCTTTCAAAGAAAAATCCCTCCATGGGATTTGAAAGCTGATTGTCTGGGGGGGGGGGGGGGGGAGGGAGGGGGGCCTCTCTTTTTCTTT